CCCCCGCTCCGCCCCCTCCCCTCCTGAACGCGTCCTCCGCCGCCCCATCCCAACCTTCCTCCCCACGTCCCGAGCGCCACCAGTCCTCAAGGCCGCAGTCGTCCCTCCCCGCCTCCACCTCCTCCCCGTCTCTGGCCGCCACATCTGCTTCCTCCACCTCCTCCGCTTCCTCCCGGCCCTTCACTGTGCACTATCCCCCGCACCTGCCACCTCCACACCCTCCCGGCAGCGCAGGTTCAGGTGGGGCTGGGACGTCCTGGAGGACTCTGGGTATGCAGGCATCCTACACGGCCTCGCAGATCCCCGGCAATCGCCCCAGATAGGACACGTCCAGGTGTAGGAGGGTGGGGGGAGGGGGCAGTTTGACGTGGAAATAGACTATTGCTAGACGGACACAGGGAAGCTACTGCGCTCTGCCAGCTATAATGTTATGAGTCCCAACAAGTTATGTGGTGTTGGCATGGAAATGGGGTACATGCTTTGCTGCTTTTCTTTTTTTTTTTCGTAGCTGCATTTCCTGCGAGTTCTTTGGGTTTCAGAAACCAGCTGTTAGACTATTTATGTCAGAATTGCCGTTTTGTTTGAAAATATCATTACATGTTCAGGGCTCAACAATGTGAGGAGTGAATCGGAGTGATTTCTACTTTTACTAGCCCACAAAAATGCTATTTTATTTTACGTAGCAAGAATACACAAAACGTATTAGTAATGTATTTTTGTAAGCGTTTGAAAAATATTTATTTTTTTCATTAAATGTTTTTCCCCTGTCGAAAAAGGACATTTAAAAAGGCTAATTTGGATATTTTACTATGTTCCAATTAAATAGAATATTTTAGTAATTTTATAATGTAACTAAATTTCATAAACTTTTTTTGCTGGTTTGATTATGATGGTTTATTGTGCAAAATCTTATTGCGATACAATGTTTTAAAAATCTTATATCATAATATTATTTTATTATTAATTGATTTATGAATGTGTGTGAATCATTTTAATAGCTTATTTAACTTGATTCAATTATTGATTTGATTCATATTTTATTTTATAGAATATGAATAAATTATGAATTAAATAAAACCATAAGGAAAGGTCAATTGACTGAAATTTAGCTAATAAACATATTTGTGATGGTACACATTTGAGTAGTGTGCAGGATATATACGTTTTCTACTGTAATTCTAAAATATGAACCAATTTATTAAGTTAAATTGAATATTTTTTATGATTCATATTATAAAGTATAATACAAAATATCTACTAATTATCAAACAACTTAAACATTTAATAATAAAAAAAAAATTATATTTGTATTTGTACATAAAGAAATCATGTTTTGCACAGTAAGCCATAATAATCATCCAGGAAAAATGGTTATAAAATAGTTTATTATTTTGTTGTATGTAATATTATTACTTGTATAAAAATAATATAAAATTCATACAATTTTTAGCCCATTGTAAATGATGTTTACAAGCAAGTCCCTCTTGCAGAATTTGAAAAAAAACAAAGGAAGTTTTAAACATTGCAGTCCAAATACATAAGTTTGTCAGGCATGTAAATTGTTGAGCCCTGATGTTGATGAAATATGTCCACATCTTGTGTAATTCCTGGATTTTACCCCCGACTGGTTACAGGTAACTGAAGAAATCTACCTCAACCCAACATAACCTATGCAATGGACAGGTGTGGACCAATGGGCTCGACTCGCTCACCGGTGCTCAAACTTTTGTTAAAAGACGCCACTGTAAAACTGGCATGGGTATCAGAACTTATCACAGGTGCAGCTTAACACACACACAGCCCCTGAATCACATTCAGATTGACACAGTATGCAGCTTATTATCAATAATTGTGAGTTTAACATGGCCTTACTGATGGATGGTTTTCTAAATTTGCAGCCATCTTCTGGTGGATTCACAATCGATGACACAGGAAGCGTTTTAAATGTCAGGAATATAATTAGTCAGTCCGGTTTCAATGGGCCGTATGGTTTAAAACCGAAATATTTCCAATACTGCGACACAGTACATCGTGTATGCTTTCTTTTCATTTTGTTATAATGGGAAGATCTGCGAATGTGTAGAACTACCTAAACTTGCCACACACACACACACACACACACACACACACACACGCACACAAAAAAAGACTTGTGAATCTCTGTAACCTTGCTGCTGTTATCAGTGGAAAGAAATGTGGCTTTTTGTGATTGACAACTCCTATTCGGATGGACTCCATGAAGCCCCTGGAGCCTGATACCGTTCCCGTGCTGGGACGTCACCCTTACAGCCTGAGCTTGTGCTGTGAACTCGCTATTTTAGTGAAATTGATGTTAACAAACCTGTCCGATAGTTTAGTAGTCACCTTGACTTGGGCATTTTAACTTCTCATCATATGAGTTATTTGCCTTGTAAGGTGAAATATGTAGGAAACCACAAGCTCCAGCTGTGTAAGGGTGAATCTGCAAGTGATATTTTACCTCAAAAAGAAGACTATTTGAAATTATTGCTTAATATTAAAACCAAGATTTTTTTTGGTAATTGTGAAATTTTTCATGACTGTTAAGCACATTTTCCCTAAATTCTCATTAC